GGTAATGTGATGGTTCTGGCTTTGTTCTTTTTCCTTAGGATTTCCTTAGCTATTTGGGCTCTGTTTTGGTTCCATAAGAATTTTAGAGTATGTTTTCCCAGTTCTGTGAGAAATGAGGTTGACAGTTTAATAAGAAAAGCACTGAATCTATAGATTGCTTTGGGCATATGGCCATTTTAACATTGTTTCACAATCCATGAGAATAGATGATTTTTCCATTTATTTGTGTCATCTATGATCTCCTTCAGAAGTGTTTTGTAGTTCTCCTTTTAGAGATCTTTCACTTCCTGGATTAGCTGTATTCCTGGGTATTTCATTTTCATTTTCTTTGTGGCTACTGAGAACTATGTTCTTGACTTGATTCACAGCTTGAATGCTATTGTTGTATAAAAACACTTATAATTGTGTTTTGATTTTGTATTCTGAAACTTTACTGAAGTTGTTTATAAATTCTAGGAGCTTTTTGCTGGAGTCTTTAGGGATGTCTAGATATAGAATCATATCATCAATCAAGAGAGATAGTTTAACTTCTTCTCAGATTTGGATATACTTTTTTTCTTTCTCTGGCCTGATTATTCTGGCTGGGACTTCCAGTACTATGTTGAATCAGAGTGGTGAGCATGGGAACTTCTCTTGTTACAGTTCTCAAGGAGAATGTTTCCAGCTATTGCTCATTCAGTATCATGTTGGCTGTTAGATAATCATAGATGCCCCTTATTATTTTGAGATATGTTCCTTAAGTGCCTATTCTGTTGAGGGTTTTTATTGTATAGGTATCAAATTTTATCGAAAGCCTTTTCTGTCTCTATTGAGATGATCACATGGATTTTTATTTTAATTCAGCTTTTATGATAAATCACATTTATTGATTTGCATATGGTTTAATAGCCTTGCTTGCCAAGAATAAAGTCTACTTGATCATAATATATTAATTATTTTATTTGCTGGTGAATTCAATTTGTAGTATTTTGTTGAGGATTTTTGAGCCTATATTCATCAGGGATATTGGACTTAAGTTTACTTTTTTCCTTGTGTAACTGCTATATTTTGTTTTCAGAATGATTCTGGCTTTATAGAATGAGTTCAGGAGGAGTCCCCTCTTTCTTGATTTTTTGAATCGTTTCAGTAGTATTCACACGAGTTCTCCTTTGTACGTCTGGTAGAATGTGGCTATGAATTCATCTGGCTCAGCTTTTGTTAATTCATAAGTTTGTTTATTCCTTATTCGATTTCAGAACTTGCTGTTGGTCAGTTCAGGTTTTCATTTTCTTTCTGTTCAATTTGGGGAGGTTTTGTGTTTTGCGAAATTTATCTGTTTCCTCTAGATTTTTAAATTTGTGTGCATAGAGGTATTCATAATAGTCTTTGAAAATATTTAGTGTTTCTGTGACATTGAGTATAATGTCATCTTTGTCATTGCTGATTGTACTTATTTGTGTCTTCTCCTTTTATTTCTTTGTTACTCTTTTTAGCAGTCTATCATTTGTATTTATTTTTCAAACAACCGACTCTTGATTTCACTTATCTTTTGTATGGAGTTTTATGTCTCAAATTTCATTCACTTCTTCTCTGATTTTAGTCATACGTTTTCTTCTGCTAGCTTTAGAGTTGGTTTGTTCTTTTTTTTCTAGTTCCTCAAGGTGCAATATTAGATTGTGTATTTGAGATCTTTCTAACTCTTGATAAGGGCATTTTATACTGCATACTTTTGTTTTAATGTTGCCTTTGCTGCATCCCAAAATTTTGGTAAGTTGTGTTTTGATTTTTATTAATTTCAAAGGATATTTTGATTTGGTGCTTAATTTAATTGTTTACATGGGTTATTCAGAAGCAAGTTGTGTAATTCCCATGTATTTATATAGTATTGAGTTATCTTGATATTGATTTTTATTTTTATTGCACTGTGGTCTGAAACTGTGCTTGGTATGATGTTGATATTTTTGAATTTATTAAGACTTGCTTGTAACAAAACGTGTGGCCAATCTTAGAAAATGTTTTGTGCAGATGAGAAGAATTATATGGTAGTTGTTGAATGGAGTGTTCTGTAGATTTCTATTAGGTCCAATTGACTTGAGTACCAAGTTTATGTCTAGATTATTTTTGGATAATTTTGTGCCTTGATAATTTATCCAATGCTATGTATACTATGAGTATTGATGTCTCTCACTGTTATGGTGTGGTTGTCTAGATATTTGGATAGCTCAAGCAGGGCTGGTTTTATAAATATGAGTGTTCCAATGTTGGGTGCATATATGTTTAAAATAGTTAAGTCTTGTTGAATTGAAACCCTCATTATTATGTAATGCCTTTCTTTGTCCTTCTTATTTTTTATTGGTTTAATGTCTGTTTTACCTGACAAGAATAACAACTTCTGTTCTTTTTCTTTTGTGTTTGCATAGTAGATCATTCTCCATTTATTTTGAGACTCTGGGTGTTGTTACATGTGAGATGGGTCTCTCGAAGACAGCAGAAAGTTGGATCTAGTCTTTTTATCCAGTTTGCCACTTTATTCCTTTTAAGTGGTGTATTTGCCTATTTATATTCAGGGTTAGTATTGATATGTGAGATTTTGTTCCCGTCATTTTGTTGTTAGTTTGTCATTTTGAAGATTTGATTGAGAAGTTTCTTTGCAGAGTCTGAGGGCTATGTGTTAGAGAGTTTGTTTGTGGTAACAGGTTTTTCTTTTGTTTCCATATTTAATACTCCCTACAAACCTCTTATAAAGTATGTTTGGTTGTAATTAATTCCCTTAGCATTTGCTTGTCTAAGAAGGATTTTATTTCTTCTTTGTTTTGAAGCTTTATTCAATGGGATATGAAATGCTTGGCTGGAATTTATTTTCTTTAAGAAAACTGAAAATAGGCTCCTAATCTCTTCTGTTCATAAGGTTTCTGCTGAGAGGTCTGTTGCTGGCCTGATTTCTCCTTATATAAGAAGGAGCTGCCTTTAAGTTGATTTCTTTCAAGATGATCCTGGTGAATCTAATGATTGTATGCCTTAGGAATGGTTGCCTTTGAGAGTATCTCACAGGAATTCTCTGCATTTTTTGAATTTACATGGCAACTTCTTTAGTGAGATTGGGGAAATTTTCAAAGACTATGTCCTCAAGTGTGTTAAATGTGTTTTCCAAACTATGCTCTGTCTTTCTCTAACAGGAATGCCATTGAGTCATAGATTTGATATCTCTCTATAATCTCACATTTGTTGGAAGTTGTGTTTCTTTTTCTTAAATATTATTATGTTTTTTTTTTTGTCTGACTGAGTTGATTCAAATTATTGGTCTTAGAACTCTGAGAAAATTTTCTTAGCTTGGGCTAGTCTGCTATTAATACCTCTTACTTAATTATAAATGTTTTGTAATGAACTTTTCAGTTCCAGAAATTTAGTTGAACTTTTTTTCAAATAGCTGTTTCATTTTGTAGCTTTTAGATCCGTTTACTATATTCTGTGGACTTTTTGGATTCAGTTTTGACTTTCTCCTGAATATTTATGAGTTTTCTTGACATCCATATTCAGAATTCTATGTCTCTCATTTCAATCATTTCACTCAGTTCAAGAACCATTGTTTGGGAACTCCTGGGCTCATTAGGGTGTAATGAGCCATTCTGGCTTTTAGAGTTACCAAATCCTTGCAATGGTTCTTGTATATGTATATGGGCTGGTGTTCTTCTAACCTTTGAGTTGCTGTCCTTTGAATGGCACTTTTAGCTATTATAACCTTTTTTTCTCAAAAGGAATGCAAGTGTCTGAGTCTTTGTGACTGGGTGATTGTATAATTGGGAGTACTCAAAATTACAATACTGTATAAATTATAATATTTATTAATGTAAAAATAATACAATTCTGCATTGAAAATTTTATATATATAATTAAAATTCAACAGTGGCAACAGCAATTGTTCGGAATGTAGATTAACTCAGCAGCAACCTTACAAGCCAGGAGAGATTTGGAATCTGTTTCACTATTCTTAAAAAAAAAAAAAAAGAAATTTTATCCAAGAGTTTCCTACCATGCTAAACCAAGCTTCAAAAATCAAATATTTTACAGACAAGCATGTGCTAAAGGAATTTGGCACCATGAATCCAGCTTTACAAGAGATCCTTGATGCAGTTTTAAGCATGGAAACAAAACAAAGATACCTACTATCACAAAAACACACATAAATATATAGACTGCCAACTCTATAATGCAACCACAAACTAGAAACTACAAAGCAAACAGGAAACGACTTCATAGTAGAACCAAATCACAGATATCAATTTTAAACTTGAATGTAAATGGCTCAAACTCCCCACATAAAGGCACAGAGTGGCAAGTTGCATAAAAAAATAAGACTGTCTGCTGTCTCATATATAACCACATACCTAGGCTCAAAATAAAGGGTTAGAACAAGATCTACCATGCAAATGCAAAACAAAAGACAGCAGTAGCTACTATACTTATTTCAGACAAAACAGACTTTAAACCGAAAATGATCAAAAAGGACAAAGAAGAGCATTGTGTAATGATAAAGGGCTGAATCCATAAGAAGACTTAGTATATAAGCACCCTAAATATATATGCACCCAGCATTGAACATCAAGATTTACAAAACAAATATTTTTCTATATACAAAATGACATAGACAACGACATAATAAAAAGAGAGGAGTTGAACACTGTAATCCCAGCACTTTAGCAGGCTGAGGCAGTGGATCACCTGAGGTCGGGAGGTAGACACCAGCCTGACCAACATGGAGAAACCCAGTCTGTACTAAAAATACAAAATTAGCTGGGCATGGTGGTGCATGCCTGTGATCCAAGCTACTCAGGAGGCTGAGGCAAGAGAATACCTTGAACCTGGGAGGCGGAAGTTGCTGTGAGCTGAGATCACGCCATGCAGTCCAGCCTGGGCAACAACAGCAAAACTCCAGATCAAACAAAAGAAAAAAGCAAAGAAAAGAAAATAGTAAAAACAGAATGTATTAAGTTATTCTTTTTTTCTTTTCTTTTTTTTTTGAGATGGAGTCTCACTCTGTCGCCCAGGCTAGAGTTCAGTGGTGTGATCTTGGCTCACTGCAACCTTCACCTCCCAGTATCAAGCAATTCTTCTGCATCAGTTTTCTGAGAAGCTGAGACAACAGGTGCGTGCTACCATGCTCAGCTAATTTTTGTATTTTTAGTAGAGATGGGATTTCACTATGTTGACCATGTTGGTCTTGAACTCCTAACCTCAAGTGATCTGCCTACCTTAGCCTCCCAAAGTATTGGGATTACAGGCATGAGCTACCGTGCCCAGCCTATGCTGAGTTATTCATAATAGTAAAACCTTAAAAACCTAAGGTGCAAAAATAGGCAAATGATAAATAAACTACAATATATGCATAGGGTAAAATATTTGCAGTCATTAAAATATTTGTAAATATGCCAAAATAGTCACAAAACTACCACTAGTGACCTAGGGTGAGTGATAGTTGGGGTTATATGTGATTGCTAATTTATGTATATATATTTATAATATAAATAAAATATAAATATTAATATACTAATAAACCTAACTTAGGTTTGACAGGTAAAATTGATGTAATAGTCAGAAATTAACAAAATATCAGAGAGCAAGAAGAGAACATTTATTCTATTGTGTATAGCCTTTTATATTGAAGTAATTTCTCCCAGATAATTATAGATTATTTGGGCAATAAGTTAAACACACTTATGAGTTGCAATAATGTTTCCTAAATTTTTTAATTACATAAGCAATATTCAATCAATTTGCAAAGAGTATATAGGAATTCAACTGTAAAAAATAATAATGGTCACAAAGGAGGCAACATCCATTTTGTGTAAATACTTTAGCTTGCAATGAATAAAAGGTAGGTTGATAAAATGATTTCCTAGACACTTGATTTTGTTTAATGCCTCTAACTTACCATTCATTTAATAAAACGCACTACTAATTAAGATCAATTTATATGTGTCTTCTTCCCTTCCGCTCCCCTTTCTGTTCTCCTCTCTCCCCTTATGTTTCATCTCAGGAAGAGACAGCATTGCTACAAAAGGATCATGTGATTTGTGTCAATTGGAAAGATGCCACAGTTGGTAAATGTAATTCCATACTCAAGAGAATAAAATGATCACTATTGTCTATGCAGATACTTTCTTCTTTCCCCTTTATGCTCTCATTGATTACAATACTTTATTATTTCCCGTATTCTTTTTAAAAATTTTTTCTGGACCCATCTGCACCTCTTTTTCTAGGCCAGCAGCTCACATATTCTTCTTTTCTTTATTCTTCATACTAGTACCAACCAGCTGTCACAAAATAATTATACCCTGGATCAGGAGCCATTTCTAAAGTCTTTACTAGCTACACAGAATTCCAAACTAATAATGTATCACTGGTTATATTCACTGAAAGCCTAATACCTTACCAAGTTATGGAAGATGTTCCTATCAAGAGAAAACAGTATTTTAGCATATGCATGCACAAATTCTATAATATAACTGTGTAAGTAAATAATCTGCTGGTGGAAGAGTTTCTAGTCAGGAAGTAATGAAAATGTCAGAAGAGCCCTAGTGCTCTAAGTATTATTTAGTAAGTAACATCTAAATGGAAAGAAACATTGGTGACTTTAGAGTGTCTGCTAATTCCAAGTAATAGGTAATGCATAAAAAAACCACATAACCTAATGATAGTTTCTTGTGCTGTGCAGAAGCTCTTAAATTTAGTTAAATCCCATTTGTCCATTTTGGCTTTTATTGTCATTGCTTTTGGTGTTTTAGTCGTGAAGTCCTTGCCCATGCCTATGTCCTGAATGGTATTGCCTAGGTTTTCTTCTAGGGTTTTTATGGTGTTAGATCTTATGTTTAAATCTTTAATCCATTTGGAGTTAATTTTCATATAAGGAGTAAGGAAAGATCCAGTTTCAGCTTTCTGCATATGGCTAGCCAGTTTTCTCAACACCATTTATTAAATAGTGAATCCTTTCCCCATGGCTTATTTTTGTCAGGTTTGTCAAAGATCAGATGGTTGTAGATATGTGGTGTATTTCTGAGGCCTCTGTTCTGTTCCATTGGTCTATATCTCTGTTTTGGTACCAGTACCATGCTGTTTTGATTACTGTAGCCTTTGAGTATAGTGTGAAGTCAGGTCGCATGATGCCTCCAGCTTTGTGTGTTTTTTGTTTGTTTGTTTGTTTGTTTTTTGCTTCAGATTGTCTTGGCTATGCAGGCTCTTTATTGGCTCCATATGAAGTTTAAAGTTTTTTTTTTTTTTTTTAATTTTGTGACGGAAGTCAATGGTAGCTTGATGGGGATAGCATTGAATCTGTAAATTGCTTTGGGCAGTATGGCCATGTTCATGATATTGATTCTTCCTAACCATGAGTATGGAATGTTTTTTCATTTGTTTGTATCCTTTCTTATTTCCTTGAGCAGTAGCTTGTAGTTTGTCTTGAAGAGGTCCATCAGGTCTCTTGTTAGTTGTATTCCTAGGTATTTTATTCTCTTTGTAGCAATTGTGAATGGGAGTTCACTCACGATTTAGCTCTCTGTTTGTCTGTTGTTAATGTTTGTGAATGCTTGTGATATGTGCACATTGATTTTGTATGCTGAGACTTTGCTGAAGTTGCTTATCAGTTTGAGGAAATTTTGGGTTGAGACGATGGGGGCTTCTAAAAATACAATCATGTCATCTGCAAATAGAGACAATTTGACTTCCTCTTTTCCTAACTGAATACGTTTATTTCTTTTTCTTGCCTGATTTCCCTGGCCAGAACTTCCAATACTATGTTAAATAGGAGTGGTGAGAGAGGACATCCTTGTTTTGTGTCATTTTTCAAAGGGAATGTTCCAGTTTTTGCCCAATCTGTATGATATTGAGTATTGGTTAGTGATAAATAGCTCTTATTTTGAGATACATTCCATTGATACTTAGTTTATTGAAAGTTTTAGCATAAAGGGCTGTTGAATTTTGTTGAAGGCCTTCTCTGCATCTATTGAGATAATCATGTGGTTTTGTCTTTAGTTCTGTTTATTTGGTGGATTACATTTATAAATTTGAGTATATTGAACCAGCCTTCAATCCCAGGGATGAAGCCAACTTGATTGTGATAGAAAAGCTTTTTGATGTACTGTTGGATTCAGTTTGCCAATATTTTATTGAGGATTTTCAAATCAATGTTCGTAATGGATATTGGCCTGAAATTTTCTAAGTTGTGTCTCTGCCAGGTTTTGGTATCACGATGATGTTGGTCTCATAAAATGTGTTAGGGCAGATTCCCTCTTTATGTATTGTCTGGAATAGTTTCAAAATGAATGGTACTAGCTCCTCTTTGTACTTCCGGTAGAATTTGGCTATGAACCTGTCTGGTCCTGGACTATTTTTGGTTGGAAGGCTATTAATTGCTGCTTCAATTTTAGACCTTGTTATTGGTCTATTCGGGGATTCAGTTCTTCCTGGTTTAGCCTTAGGAGGGTGTAAGTGTCCAGGAATTTATCCATTTCTTCTAGATTTACTAGTTTATTTGCATAGAGGTATTTGTAGTAGTAATCTCTAATGGTAATTTGTATTTCTGTGGGATCTGTGGTGATATACCATTTATCAGTTTTATTGCATGTATTTGATTCTTCTGTCTTTTCTATTAGTCTGGCTAGCGATCTCTCTATTTTGTTAATCTTTTCAAAAAAGCACCTCCTGGATACTGATTTTTTGAAGTTTTTTTGTGTCTCTATATCCTTCAGTTCTTGTCTGATCTTAATTATTTCTTTTCTTCTGCTAGCTTTTGAATTTGTTTGATCTTGTTAATCTACTTCTTTTAATCATGATGTTAAGGTGTCAATTTTAGACCTTTCTCACTTCTCTTGTGGCTATTTATTGCTTTAAATTTCTGTCTAGACACTGCTTTAAATCTGTCCCAGAGATTCTGGTATGTTGTGCATTTGTTATCACAGGTTTCAAAGAACATATTTATTTCTGCTTCATTTCATTATTTATCCAGTAGTCATTTAGGAGAAGGTTGTTCAGTTTCCATGTAGTTGTGCAGTTTTGACTGAGTTTCTTAATCCTGAGTTCTAACTTGGTTGGACCATGGTATGAGAGACTGTTTGTTATAATTTCCTTTTCTTTTCTTTCCTTTTTTTTTTTTTTTTTTTGCATTTGCTGAGGAGTGTATTAATTCCAAATATGTGATCAAATTTAGAATAAGTGCAATGTGGTGCTGAAAAGAATGTATATTCTGTGGATTTGGGGTGGAGAGTTCTGTAGATGTCTATTAGGTTCACTTGGTCCAACTCAGATCTGAGTTCAAGTCCTGGATATCCTTGTTAATTTTCTGTCTAATATTGACAGTGGGGTATTAAAATTTCCCACTATTACTTTGTAGGAGTCTAAGTCTCTTTCTAGGTCATTAAGAACTTGCTTTATGTATCTGGGTGCTCCTGTACTGGGTACATATATATTTATGATAGCTCTTCTTGTTGCACTGATCCCTTTAACATTACGTAAAGCCCTTCTTTGTCTCTTTTGATCCTTTTTGGTTTAAAGCCTGTCTTTATCAGAGATTAGGATTGCAAGTACAGCAATCAAATGCAGATATGGTCTTTTCACATAATCCCATATTTCTTGGAGGCTTTATTCATTTCTTTTCACTGTTTTTTCTCCAATCTTGCCTTCTTGTTTCATTTAATTGAGTTGATCTTCAATCTCTGATATTCTTCCACTTGATCAGTTTGGCCATTGAAACTTCTATATGCTTCACAAAGTTCTTGTGCTGTTTTTCAGCTCCATCAAGTTGTTCTGTTCCTCAGTATGCTGATTATTCTACTTAGCATTTCATCTAACCTTTTTTCAAGGTTCTTAATTTCCTTGCATTGTTAGAACATTCTCCTTTAGCTTGGAGAAGTTTGTTATTACCTACCTGCTGAAGCCTGCTTCTGTAAATTCATCAAACTCATTCTCCATCCAGTTTTGTTCCCATGCTGGTGAGGAGTTGTGATCCCTAGGAGGAGAAGAGGCTTTCTGGTTTTTGGAGTTTTTAGTCTTTTTGCACTGGTTTTTTCCCATCTTTGTGGATTTATCTACCTTTGGTCTTTGAAGTTGGTGACTTTTTGATGGGGTCTCTGAGTCGTCTTTTCTGTTGATGTTGAAGCTATTTCTTTCTGTTTTTTAGTTTTTCTTCTAACAGTCAGGCACCTCTTATGCAGGTCTGCTGGTATTTGCTGGAGGTCCACTCTAGACCCTACTTGCCTGGGAATCACCTGTGGGGTCTGCAAAACAGAAAATATTGTGCCTGTTTCTTCCTCTGTAGTTTCATCCCAGAAGGGTACCTGCCAGATGTCAGCCAGAGCTCTTCTGCATGAGGTGTCTCCCAGTGAGGATACACGGGGGTCAGCGAGCCCCTTGAGGAGGCAGCCTGTCCCTTCTCAGAGCTCAAGTGCTGTTCTGGGAGATCTGTTGTTCCATTCAGAGCTGCCAGTCAGGGACACTTAAGTCTGCTGAAGTGGAACCCACATTTGCCCCTTTTCCCAGGTGCTCTGTCCTTGGAAGGCAGGGCTTTATTTATAAGTTCCTGCTGCCTTTTTTCAGAGATGCCTTGCCCAGCAAGAAGGGAGTCTAGTCACAGTCTAACTACAGCAGGCTTGCTGAGCTGCCCTGTGCTCTGCCCAGTTGCTGTGTAAACTTTGCAGCAACTTTGTTTACACAGGTGAGTTTAGAACTGCCTACCTGTGCCTCAGCAATGGCAGATGCCCCTCCTCACTGAGCTCAAACATCCCAGGTTGAGCCCAGACTGGTGTGCAGGCTGTAAGAATATCAAGCCAGTAGATCTTATCTTGCTGGTCTTTGTGGGGGTGGGACCCGCCAAGCCAGATCACTTGGCTCCCTGGCTAGAGCCCCTTTTTTAGGAAAAAGAGCAGTTCTGTATTGCTGTTATTCCAGGTGCCACTGGGATATGAGAAAAAGAGAAAAGACTGCTACAGCTAAAATGGCCACCCAGTTTTGTGCTGGAAACCCAGGGCACTGGTGGTATAGATACTGGAGGAAATCTCCTGGTCTGTGAGTTGGGAAGACCTTTGGAAAAGTGCGGTATCTGAGCCAGAGTGCCAGAGTATTGGGAAATGTCCCTAATGGCTTCCCTTGGCTAGTAGAGGGAGTTCTCCAAGCCCATGCATTTTCCAGGTAAGGCAATGCCCAGCCATTCTTTGGTTTGCCCTCCTTGGGCTGCACCCACAGTCTAACCAGTCCCAATGAGATGACCCTGATACCTCAGTTGGAAATGTGGAGATCACTCGCTTTCTAAATTGCTCTCACTGGGAACTGCACTCTGGAGTTGTTCCTATTTGGCCATTTTGGCAGAAATCTCCTAGGAAGGTATTATTATTGTCATTCTCATTTAAATGTAAGGGATAAGAATACTGAGGCACAAGAGGTTGAATAACTGTCTGAGATGGTTTGGATATTTGTTCCCTCCAAATCTCCATTGAAATGTGATCCCAGTATTGGATGTAGGTGGACCGTAGTGGAAAGTGTTTGGGTCATGGAGGCAAATCCCTTGTGGATGACTTGGAGCCTTCCAACAGTAATGAGTTACCATGAGAGCTGATTGTTTAAAAAGAGTCTGAAACTCCTCATCCCCACCCCACTCCACGCCTGTTGCTGTGTCTCTCACCATGTGTCACTCTGGCTTCCTTTTCCCTCTGCCCTGACTAAAAGCTTCCTCAGGCTCACCAAAAGCTGAAGAGATGCTGCCACAATCCTTGTACAGCCTGTAGAACTGTGAGCCAAATAAACTTCTTTTCCTTGTAAATTACCCAGTCTCGGGAACGGTTTTATGGCAACGTAAAACTGACGTACCTATTAACCAAAAGTCACATCACTTCTAAGTGGTAGAGTGAGGAGTTGAAGTTATCACTACTCCTAATGTGGAGAGAGTATATCCAGCCTAAGGACCCTGTTAGGATTTAATGAGGTGTTAAGTGCCATCGTACTAGTGTGCCTAGCACATAGCCAGGATTCATAAAGGTTACCCATTGTCAGCTGTTTATATTACTATAGATAAAATAATATCAGTCAGTGTTCTCCTTTCCTTACATTTAGCAAAAACCAAACTGTAGTTTCCTCAAAACTTATGAAAAGCGGGGGAATACTTGCTCTTCAGCTGACCAGTCACTAAGAATGGAAACATTGCTAATTTCCTTTACCTATTGTCCAGGACCAAAAGTGTTTTTATTGTTTTTCTTTGAGCTTTCCCTATTCCTCTCCCTCAGGATTACAAAGGGCAAAGCTGTAGCCCTCTGTGCTTGCAGTAACCAGCAACAAAACATGCTCAAGCAGTAGTAGGAGTTACAAACCTAACTACCTCACATGCAGTGATCTCACAAAAACCTCATGTACTTATCACTTAGGGACTCCACAGTCCTTAGTAGTCTATGAATCCAATGCAAATGACATGAAATATTATAGGTCATTTAACCAGTCCCAACATCCAGCAGTGTCTTCATGCAAATGAGGATATTAAATACATTAAAAGAAGAATTAAAACATATGAACAAAAAAGTCTTTATTCTTGTCCAAATATATCAACAGTTCCTGACCTTCAGCAAACCACTAAGTCTAAGTCTTAGTTTTCTTATTTGTAAAATGGAGGCCACAACACCTTTCCTGCTCTTTTTGGGGCCTATAGAGAGTACTACCTACTCTCTCTGTTCTGGTTCCTTCCCTCATACAACTAAATATGCTCAGCACTCTTCCTTAGAATGAACAACAAAATAATTTCACAAACAAAAGACAACCTTCTCTCACTTTCTTTTCAAGAATCACCTATTTTCTCTCTAATTCAATGTCAAATTTCTTGAAAGGCCGTAGCCTCTATTCCTCATCTATTTTTTTACTCTCTCATCTATTCAGAAGCTTCTTCACACTCTCTTCAGTTCTTCTCTTCACAAAATCTGTTTTTATTTAGGTCACTAATGTCTTCTAATTTCAATTCCAATGGAAATTTTCAGTAAATACTGTCAAACATTCCTTACTCAGAATATTCTTTACTTTTGGGACCCTTCCTTTAAAACTCAGAGTTCTGTCCTTTTTCTTTTTAAATTTGAGACGATCTCGCTCTGTCACTCAGGCTGGTATGCAATGGCAGGATCTGGGCTCACTGCAACCTCCACCTCCCAGCTCAGGTAATTCTCCTGCCTCAGCCTCCCAAGTTTCTTGGATTACAGGCATGAGTCACCACACTTGGCTAATTTTTTGTATTTTTACTAGAGATGGATTGTTGGCCAGGCTGAACTCCTGGCCTCATGTAATCCGCCTGCCTGGGCTTTCCGAATTGATGAGATTATGGGCATGAGCCACTGTACCTGACCCTTTTCCTTGTACTACACACTCTGTAGAGATGGCATTATTCACTCCTCTGACATTAATTTTTTGAAAGTTTCTGTAAAATCTCGTGGTCCCCAGAGTAAAATTTCTTGCACTAACTGGCAACAGCTGCTGATGTCTATTGCTAGGGAAACGGGTGGCCTGGTTTTCACTTTATCTGGCTCTTATAAATGCCCTTACCTGGTGTGTTTCTTACCTGGTCTAGCTAGGTAGGGTACTAATACTACCTTGCTATGGGAGCATTCAGTGCCTTCAGACACCCAGCTGGGCACCTTATCTGCAGACTCATGGCACTGCAGATACTGTCAGAGGCCTAATTGCTCTACTTCTTTCTCTTTCTCTGTGGGACTTTTTTACTTAACTGGATAGAGCTCAGTGTGAGGTACAAGCCAGGTCATATCCCAATTATCTTCCACGACCTTCTCAAAGCTTAAAGGAAAACCAGAAGCCCTGTGGAATACTGGCAATCCTCCCTTTCTCAGCTGCTTATGCTCCTGCTTTACATACCACCTGGGTTGCACTGGCATTCCCTCTCAGGGAACTTTTAAAATGTCCTAATATGCATCTAAGAAAGTGAGAAACAAACACCCTTGTTCTAAAACTCCTGAAAAAGTACCTGGTTGTTTCCATTGCTAGAATTATGTTGCTGTTGACTGAGCAAAAATGAAGGGGAGGACCAACAGGAGAGCTTTCTTCATTACTTTCTGTCTTTGCCTGCCCATCTCCCCTCTGGCAATGGGAATGGCTACTTCTACTTTCAGTTTTCTGAGTTTACAATTTGCTCTTCCACCCCCTGGAGCCAACGTGTCAAAAAAAAAAAATCAGTGTGGGGGACAGTATTAAGAACTGTTTCAAAAAGATTATCCCCAGCACTTTGGGAGGCCAAGGCGGGTGGATCACGAGGTCAAAAGATCGAGACTATCCTGGTCAACATGGTGAAACCCCGTCTCTACTAAATTAGCTGGGCATGGTGGCAGGTGCCTGTAATCCCAGCTACTCAGAAGGCTGAGGCAGGAGAATTGCCTGAACCCAGGAGGCAGAGGTTGCGGTGAGCCGAGATCGCGCAATTGCACTCCAGTGTGGGTAACAAGAGCAAAACTCTGTCTCAAAAAAAAAAAAAGATTATTATTCTCGTTACACTCTCAGTGACTTCTCATTTTCCTCAGAACAAACTGCATGATCAGGGCCTCCTCCTCCTCCTCCCCTTACCTCATCTCAGTAATATTTCACCCACATGCTGATTATTAGCTATGCTGGCTTTCCTTGATTTTCTTAGAAGTACTCCGGGTTCTTCGTGTAGTTTTCTTTACCTCATGTACTCTTCAATCCCCCTCCACCAATAAGAGATCTGTGAGAGTACCTGTACTTGATACTTTTTGACACTTCCTTTCTTGTTTTACATCTTTAAAACATTATGTGTCAGATTCTATAAGGTATATCTTGGTAAAATGTTATCATGTCTATCTGGTTAACCATGCTCTCTTTACTAAACATCCTTCAGTGCTTGTTGATGGATAAAGAACGTTAAATGAGATGGTGAAATTAAATGTGCTTTTTACTCTGTTGAAGCATTAGCTGGGTTAATATGGGCCAGTGTAAAAACCAGCAACAGTGGGCTCTGGCTGTGTCCATTTGGTCCAGCAGACTGTAAAACAGAATCTAAAAGGTGCATTGCTAATGCTCTCTGTAACAATAAATGTTAATTTATTAGATATTTTAAGTATAAATTCACTGAATCTCTAAAGACAATTTAATTTTAATAATTTCCATTGAAGATGTTTGGGGTATGATATTATATAATTTCTAGTTACCTCTTTCTGTGAGATTCTGAAATTTATGTTAAAGATCACCAAAACTTTGGAAGTGGCATTCTCTAAAATTAATAATGAGTGACTGTGGCTATGTTTATTTGCCAAAAATTGGTCAGTGATATAGTTATATCAAAATATAATCTATTTCAGCTGGCCATAAAGTATCTTAATAAATTCTCTGTCTCATGCTGCGATTTTAGCCGCTTGGGATGAGCTTTTATGTTTAAATCCTTTTCCATCTGATTTGAGCTCATTTTTTAAACATATTTTTATTAGCTTCTACAAATTTATATAGAGATCCTATGTTTTGTGAGTTTGCTTTGTAAATTTGTATTTTGATTTATGCAGTGTTACAACTGGTCAGAGGTGGTTAAAATAGGGAAAGCATCCACCCATAAGTTACAGCTTGATTGACAATTAGAAAAAGCTGGAAGTATCCTACTAAATAGTTTCCTTATAAATATCCATTGGAATTATAGAGAAAGAAGGCAAAAAAAAATTGAGAAGTTTGATGTACCAAATGGCTGTATAAATTGCCTAAAACAGAATCTTTACCACCTAAAATCAGGGAATAAAAAAATTTTAAGGAAGCAATTATCACCTGGAATCTATCAATTGACTGTGCATGGAAACTAATGAATTTATAAACTAGGCAAATTAACTATTGCTTCTGCAATGAGTAAAAATGGTATATTCATTTATTCATTTATCTATTTATTTAAAATTATTAAGAACGTGATATGTGATAGGCAGTGGAGTTTTAGTAACAAACCTATGAAAAATTAGTGAGACACAAAGAAACACATGGATAAACAAAATACCTAAAGATTGTGTTGGGTTTCATAGGAGAAATATGCAGATGTTTTGGTTGATAAAACATATATTCAGAGATGAGACATCTATCCTAGATAGAATGGTCAAGAAACAACTCTCCCAGTGTGTGACATTTCATAGGAGACCTAAAATATAAGAACCATGGGAAGTGGTCCAGGCAGTGGTGAGAGTGAATTCAAGAATGTAAGGCTAGAAAAACTTAGTGTCTTCAAAGAACACAAAGAACCCTGCAACAGAAGAAAAAGCTGGGAGGTAGCATAATGGGTAGAAATCCTGACAGAATCCAAATCATGTACTACCTTACAGACCAGAATGATGAGTTTACATTTTATACTAGCATGACAAAAAGCATTGAGATGTTTTCAATGGGAAAGTGATGTTATCTGAACGATCTTTGAAAAAAAATTTTTTCTGAATAAATTAGAAGGAGAACCTGGAAAAATATTTAGACTATGTAGAAGACTGTTAGAATAAAATAAGCTGAAAATGATTAGAGCTTGGACTAGAGAGTTGCAAGGTAGGAAAGGCCTGAATAGGTATGTATTTTGGAAATAGTCCTGGAAATCTTGTTCATTGAGTAAATATGGTTTTCAGAGAAAGAGAGGAATTAAATATGGTTCCCGGCTTGAGCAAATGGTGCCATTATAAAAATGAGAAATAATTTGAGGAGAGAGCTATAATTCAGATAGTCTGATTAATTGGTTGCTTGTTGCTTTTTTTTCAGTAGAGGGCTTCTATTAAATCTTTGAAACATCATAAATGAAGTTGAGAAATCATCAGCATTTTGTTTTCAACGCTGGACAACTTTTGGGTTTTACTTACCAGCGGGCAAAACTGTTCCTTTTTCGGAGATGTAGATACCATACAAATTTTTTCTGACATTTCTGACGTTGTGGCTTTGCTGAATCAAAACAGCTGAATATGATATAAGTTCAATGTCATTTTCTTCAAGTATTAACTCATTTTTCTGGGTTTGAGATATTAAAAAAGCAACACCAAGACCACCTGAACCTTGTGCATGAATTTTCACTAAGAAATTTTGATTTTCAACAACAAATCCATTCTCCTGAATAATGACATTGATAGGAAAGTAAGCATGCACAGATCTCATCTTGCAATGGAAGCTCATTGTAACTCCTTTACCATGCTCTGTGGATGGCCACAGATTATGTGCACAGTAGCCAGTTTCTTTATATTTCCCTGCCATTTGTCAAGCTGCACCCTCTATTTTTTTTCTTCCCCGAAGAGACTGAGTTCCACATTCACATAATTAACTTCCCTCCACAGAGTTTCTCAGGGCTCCTTCTGAATAACTATGCCTCCCTTCAGAGTGATGTCAACATTTTCTGGAATGCCAGCAGCCTGATTACTGAGTATGATCTTTATTCTTGCAGATGCGGAAAAACCCTCAGATGATCTGTTTTGAACATATTATGCTTGAATTACACTAAGGGAGATGTCAGGAGACAGATAATATTCCTGACTGAAGCTCAGAAGGGAGAACTGGGCAGAAGATTTAAATTTAGTAGTCATTAGTGTGTAAGAAAATATTAATGGTCATGAGACAAGGTAAGATTATCTAAATGTCAGCTGTTAGAGATCAAAGGTACGTCTCACATGTGGGGAAAAAAACAAGAAGTTGGAGGATACAACCTGAAACTTAAACTATGTTTGCTTACAAAGATTATCATAGAGGGGTGACTATGCCACATTTGGGTTTCATTTCTTGATTCATTTATGCCTGAAATTCACTCTAAGGCAGAATAGGGAATTAGTGTAACTCGGGGTTAAGGCGGCAACAAAACAACAGCAGGTGCAGCCAGTTCTCAGCAAGACTGGGCGCATACAGGCCACATCCTCGCTCCTGTGATAAGGAGACAGAAGTTTCCACTTCAGCCTCTGATCAACTGTGGGCCAAGCATCCACTTCAGCCTCTGATTGGTCTTAGGGTGTAACCAATTGGAGCCCTCGAAAGACACCTGTTGCCAAATTCTTTTGATTTTGTAAAAACTCTGGGAGCCTTGCAGTCAGGCGCTCTTGAGCTCTATTCCACTCTGAATAACCTTGAGTAAGTCTGTAGCTTTTTTACTCCATTCTTTTGTTGCTGTGTCTCTTTCCTTGCTTCTTTCTTTTGCTACTTTATGAGTTTTCTACGATTCTTTGTTCAACATGCTGAACTTGGACAACTCTATTCAATAACAATTTCTTTAGTTATAAAATAGCATTTTCATGGCTCAAATAAGCTTCTGTAAATCTGTATTTTTCTATTTTCAAGAATGAAATAGTATCTTAGTGATTTTGGTGATTTACATGAAGATTTCATTGGAACACTTCATAAACAACAGAGCTAAAGTTTATAAGAAAGTGACTATAGTGTTGAATGATAGTTTTCACAAAAACTCAGTTTAGGGTGATTTGGAACATTAGAAACATGTATATGAACTATACAGTGCAGTTGTAACAATTGTTCAATGAGAAATATAGGATACTTGGCTGGGCGTGGTGGTTCACGCCTGTAATCCTAGCACTTTAGGAGGCAGAAGCGGGTGGATCACGAGGTCAAGAGATTGAGACCATCCTGGTCAACATGGTGAAACCCCATCTCTACTAAAAAAAAAAAAAAATAAAATACAAAAAATTAGCTGGGCATGGTGGCGCGTGCCTGTAATCCCAGCTACTCAGGAGGCTGAGGCAGGAGAATTGCCTGAACCCAGGAGGCGGAGGTTGCGGTGAGCCGAGATCGCGCCATTGCACTCCGGCCTGGGTCACAAGAGTAAAACTCCGCCTCAAAGTAAATAAAGAAAGAAAGAAAGAAAGAAAAGAAAAGAAAAGAAAAAAGCAATATAGGATACTTTCCTATGTAATAGTTCTTATTCAAAAAATGCTGGAGGTATTAAACAGAAAACCTAAACTTCAAGTATCTATGATGCAGATGCTTACAATTCAAATTAAGTGGTCTGGAAATCAGTTTTTAAATCGGTCAAACCTGGGTTGTAACTTGGGCTGTCAATTCTCAGTAATGTGACTTTGGAATGTTAATGTCTTTGTCGCTTGTCAAATTGCATAATGTTAGAGTAAGCAGGTAACCAGACACAAGCAAGGGAGGGAAGCTTCTGAGAAAGGGATGGTCTGGAAAACCTCACAGCCCAGGGAACACCTGAAACCTGCATACTATTAGATATCAACAGAGAGGAGGGGAAATTCCTCTGCAGAAAGGGATGCCCAATAATCATTCACTCTGCATTTAACCTGTCAGAACGGAGCTAGGTACATGCCTAAGGAGGGGCAAAAGGCAAAGAAGAAAGTTCTAAGGGTTAATGCAAGTGCCATTTGTGTCTGACACCAGCCCTCTGCATGCACATCACCTAATAGTAAGTGAGGGTCCCACAAGCCTGGGTTGGGAAGTCGGTGGGGAAAGGAAGGGGTTTTAAGGTGGGAGTGGAAAAACTAGAGGAAAATGGCAGAGACTTAAGACAGAAGTGAAAACTTAAAGAATTCAACATCATAACACAGCGTGGAACTCTGAGGGGTTGCTGCTGGCCCATTTCCTTCCAGTATCTGGCTCTGACTCTTCAGAGTGTGCTGTCGCTTTAAACAAACTCTCTGCACTCTACTTTTCTTTAAAAAATTTTCCGTTTTTGGCTAAATCAATCACTTGGCAGAATTCTTTCTCCAAGTAAGACTAAGAACTGAGGATTCCTGTGCTTCCTGGCAACAATGTAGAATATAATGAATTGTAGTTTTATTTTTCCACATTAAGATTTTCCTATGTTACTAAGCATATTAGAAAATTATTTTAATAATTTCCCAATAGTTCATTTACTGAAAGTTCTAGAATCATTATCTCTCACTATCCTCTTGTTGGATGTTTAGAATTTTTCGTTTTATATTGTTTTAATGTATCTTTTGTTGTGACTTTTAGCCCAAAGTATTAGGTAGAAATTCCATATTCCTCTAGTCTATTTACTTGCCTCCTCTCTTAATGGATATTGTTTATTCTCTACTCTCGTCTTAGACCTCCAAGACCCCTTTCCCCTCAGCTTTGTGACTTTGCTTATGCTAAAAAGAAAGAAGACAAGTCGTTGAAAAAGACCGTCCCCAGCTGCTAGACTCCTATTTACTCACCTGTTTCTGTATTGCCTATATACTTAGCTTTTCCTTCTCTTATTTTGATTGATTAGCCTGTGCTCTCATTGAAGGGCATCGCTTCTACTTATGCACCTGCTCAAACATATAGCTCTCGAACATTTTTCTGTTAGGTATTATCATCCCTTTCCCTTTTGACGGAATTGTCCCAATAGCACACAAGCATCTTGCTATTTCTCTTATCTGAAAAAGTTTAAAAATTCTCATTACCACAATACTTTGCTACTTTCTATTCTCTCCTTCAGAGAAAAACTTCCAGACAATTTTCGTTGAGCCGTTTTCAGTTGTACTTATTTTCTTTGAATTTATTCCAATCAGCATTTCACCCCATATACCACCGAGGTGTTGCTCAAGGTTATCTATGATCTCTACATTGTTCTAAACTGGCAATAAATTCTCCATCCCAATCTTAGCTGAAAGAGCAGCAGCACTTCACTGATAACCTTATTTTTGAGTTAACAAAGGTTTCATGTGCTGTTGTGTATCTCCTTATTTAACTAGCTTGCTATTTATCATTGTATTTTGCTGCTTTTACCATATCTGCATGACCTTCAAAATCTGGAAAGGCTCAAGCCTCGGGTCTAACCCCTGAACCTCTCCTCCAAAATCACTCCCCATGTGATCTCATTCATGATTTGTAATACCACCTACCTGCCAAAAAGTCCCAAATTTCTATCACTAGCCAAGATTTTTCTGCTGAACTCTAGACTTAGATGTGCAACTGTGTATTACACCTATTTGTTGTGATTTGTTAGGTATCTATCTGAAGACTGAACTTAGGATCTGAACCTCCAAACATGCTCTTTCCACAATCTTTCAACTAAGTAAATGGCAGTTCTGTCTTTCCAGTTGCTCAGGTGGGAGTCATTGTTGCCTTCTTGCTTTTATACCTTTCCTCTGTCAGCATATTTGCTGGCTCTACTTTTAATGTGCAGCCTCTAAATCACTTATCACTTCCATTACTAAGTTGGTATAGGCCACCATTATATCTCAGATTATTGCAATAGCCTTCGAATTCAGATTTGCAAACTGTTTTTAAAGGCCTAGATTTAAGGTTGTTTTAGATATAATAAGCCACAGGATCTTTGTTGCAACTACATAATTTTGCCATAATGTGAAAACTGCCATCAACACGATGCAATTGAAGGAGCCATATCCCAATAAGGCTTCATTTACCAGACAGGCAGGCGAGATTAGATCCTTTTACTGGAGTTTGCCAGTATCCGCTCTAGTTAATCTTCCTGACTCTTAGCATTTTTTCCTGGTAGACATTCTTAGAAGCCACCGTGGCTATTTCAAAATAAAAATGATAGCACATGATGCCTCTACTCAAAATGTCCTATGTTCCTTAATCTACAGTAAAACCCCAAATCTGTAAAATAGCATACCGAGCTTGTAAGGAGTATGTTTCCCCTATTTCTCTCCCTGGGTTCCTGATACATTGACTTTTCTGTTGTTCTTTGAATTTGCCACATGCATAATTTGCCACACTTTTTCTGTCTGTGTGGAGAACTTGGAGCAGCCCATAAAACTGCAGAGCTGATTCTCCACTTTCCTCAGGTTTTTGATCACATGTCAAATTTTCAGTGAGCCCTTTCTTCCCTGAGAAATTACAACTAATCTCCACCTGAAGTTTTAAATATTCTTTGCCTGCTTTATTTTTCTCCATGGAAAGTTTTATTATCACCTGGCATGCTAAAAATATATTTATAAATAAAAAAAATAATACTGGTGAGGCTACAGAGGAAAAAAATGCAAATAAACTGCTGCTGAAAATGTAAATTAGTTCAGCTTTCATGGAAGGTAGTTTGGTGATTTCTCAAAAAAACTTAAATATAAATGGGCTACATGCCCCAATCAAAAGACACAGACTGCCAAATTGGATAGAGTGAATGGAGCAAATGTTAACAGAGCATGTTAGAATGTTAACAGAGCATGACTTTTTTGTTGTTTTTGCAATTACACATTAAGTTTCTATAGCAAAGACTAAAAAAGACATATGTTTTTCTTATGTTTTTTTTTTTTTTTACATGTGAAAAATGGGCTTACAACCCTCTTTTCATGAGAGCATCCTAAAAATTTCTGAACTTGGATAGGGTGACACTCATAAAAAACATTTAGTTCCATTTTATTTTTAGGTTATAATAGAACATCAAGGTCTTATTTGAAACAAACACAAATGTGGAGCCTCTGCAAAAAGATAAAGAATAAAAGCAAATGAGATTAAACTGAATCTAAAAACTTCAACAGTGACTGACTAAGACTGGCTTTGATTGCTCTTTTTCATTTTTTGCTCTTTTCTAACTCCCAGCAGTTCACTATAGAGGCTAATATGATTAAATGGGTATAAAATACCTCAAAATATTCTGAAAATATATGTAAGAACAACAGCTCTAAAAATACTTAGCAAGAAGTCACTAAGCATGTTAGAATTCAAGCAAAATATGTGGTTCGTGCCTTCTTAATAAAAGGGAATAAAATAATGATGAAAAATAATGGAATACTTAAAGAACAATGAGCAGAGAAATTATAAAGAAAAAAGAAATTCTTAGAAATATAATCAGAATGACTTGGAAAAAATTATTTTATTCATGCTGAAGAATTATTTTCATTCTATTCTTGTCTTTCTAACAGAAAATAATTCTGTTACACCCGAGCAACATCAATGCTATTCTAATTTGACGCAAAATCCATACTCATTGGAACTTCGTGAGCACCAAACACAAGTTACTATGGCACAATATCTTAAAATATGTGTAGGAAATGATGACTCTTACACAAAGGACCTGCTAGATTCTCTCAACAAGCATTGATTTCACAGTCAGTTTTCAATGTGGTATTTTAAGTGATTGAAATATTTTCATGTACCATTAGAAATTGCTTTCTCACATGAGAATATAACACTTTATGATAAACTGTTGTTCTATATCTCCATTCTGTGTTATTTTCTAAAAATCTTTGTTTAAATGGAGTTTTTTTCAATATCAATCAAATCAAGATAGAGCAAAGGAAAATTAGAATAAAATGCCTTGAAAAGATATATATTCTCTCAAGCTGTGCAAAATTCTATGACACAATAAATAGACAACAATACTTTACACTTGTATGCAACTCTTTGCCAGAGGCTTATAGAACATTTCTAAAACATCACAAACCCATGTCTATAGATGTGGAAACAAGTACACACAGAAATGACAAAGAAGTCAAGAAGCTGAAAATAGCAGTAAATGTTTCAAAAATGTATTCCTAATTCTTGTAATCATAGTGGTTCATAAGTTTATCAGTTACAGTAGATCGTTCTCTCTCTAAACTTCTGTAAGAAATTCTGAGAGCTCTGAAACTTCTGTCCTGCATGTTCTTACATTTTGATTGTGCAGCCTCAGGAAGCTTACAGTATAATTAAGGACTGACAATGGATGAGTATACTAACAATAAAAGGAAGAAGAAAAGAAGTACTGAGGTTTGAATAAGCCAAGCTGTAATTGGGTAGAGCAGAAGAGAGAGCAGATGGATATACTTTGTGGACATTTTGGTGAGAACTGGAAACTTAATAGAAGGCAGTGAATTCTGAATTGGCTTAAAACATCATTCTAGGTTATTCAACTTGGACATGCTTAGAATAACTTAGGTATGAGGTCAAGTAAGAATTGTTATTAACTATTATAGCGTTTAATACTCTTGAAGACATTTTTATATAAAATTTCAATATTTCCATTTTTCTTGTCAGAAAAATTGAAACAGTTTAATGACAAATTAGAGATGCTAGTGATAGGACTGGCTTGAATACCTTCTTCCTTAGAACTGCATTTTTAAAACTTACAGAGCTGAGGAAATAGTTTAGAGTCAAATCAACCTGAATGTAACTGAAGAAATTGTTTTGGCAGTATATATATCCTTGTTAGAGCATTGTTAAACTTACTGTTAAATAAATGCTTTTGTTTTTTAAATGTCTAAAATGAAACACTCCAAATCAATACGTTAAAAAAAATCCAATGGATCTGCAGTAGAAATAAGTTAATTTATTTCAAGTTGCCTCCATAGAGTTTTAATATACAATATGTTATCTTCTTTGTCATTTTATATAAGAAATAGAATATTCAAATATTAAACAGAACAAATTGTTTTGTCCTTGGATTCGACTCATGACTCCTACCTCCTACTGTATATCAAAACATGGATGATGGACCTAAAAGTAAAATCTAAAATGATTTTTTTTTAAATCTAAAAACTCTTAAAACTTCTTGAAGAAAATAGAAGAAAAGTTGTTGTGACATTCAGTTAGTCAAAAACTAGTTTGAAGTCAGGTAGCATGATGTCTCCAGCGATATTAAAAGGCTACAGTAATCAAAAAAACATGGTACTGGTACCAAAACAGAGATACAGACCAATAGAACATGACAGAGACCTCAGAAATAACACCACGCATGTACGACCATCTGTATCTTTGACAAACCGGACAAAAACAAGCAATGGAATAAGGATATCCTGTTTAATAAATGGTGTTGGGAAAACTGGCTAGCCATATGCAGAAAGCTGAAACTGGACACCCTCCTTACACCATATACAAAAATTAACTCAGAATAGATTAAGACTTACATTTAAGACCTAGAACCATAAAAACCCTAGAAGAAAACCTAGGCAGTACTATTCAGGACACAGACATAGGAAAGACTTCATGATAAAACACCAAAAGCAGTGGCAACAAAAGCCAAAATTGACAAATAGGATCTAATTAAACTAAAGAACTTATGCAGAGCAAAATATCATTAGAGTGAACTGGCAACCAGCAGAATGGGAAAATATTTTTGCAATCTACCCATCTGGCAAAGGGCTAATATCCAGAATCTACAGAGAATTTTACAAGGAAAAAAAAAAACATTAAAAAGTGGTCAAAGGATATGAACAGACACTTTTTAAAAGACATTTATGCAGCCAACAAATGGATGAAAAACTCATCACTGGTCATTGGAGAAATGCAGTCAAAACCACAATGAAATACCATCTCATGACAGAATGGCAATCATTAAAAAGTCTGGAGACAACAGATGCTGAAGAGAGTGTGGAGAAATAGGAATGCTTTTACACTGTTGGTGGAAGTATCAATTAGTTCAACCATTGTGGAAGACAGTGTGACAATCCTCAAGGATCTAGAAATAGAAATACCATTTGATCTAGCAATTCCATTACTGGGTATATATCCAAAGGATTATAAATTATTCTTTTATAAGGACACATGTACATGGGTGTTTACTGTGGTACTGTTCACAATAGCAGATACTTGAAACCAACACAAATGCCCATCAACAATAGGCTGGATAAGAAAAGGTGGCATGTATGTGCCATGGAATACTATGCAGCCATAATAAAGGATGAATTCATGTCCTTTACAGGGACATGGATGAATCTGGAAACCATCATTCTCAGCAAACGGCACAAGAACAGAAAATCAAACACCGCATGTTCTCACTTATAAGTGGGTGTTGAACAGTGAGAACACATGGACACAGGGAGGGAAACATCACATACCCAGGCCTGTCTTGGGGTAGGGGGATTGGGGAGGGATAACATTAGAAGAAATATGCAATGTAGGCGACTGGGTGATGGATGCAGCAAATCACCATGGTACATGTATACCTCTGTAAGCCACGTGTTCTGCACATGTACCTCAGAACTTTAATAAATTTTTTTAAAAGCCACAACCCAGTTAAGAGGTTTGTCTAGTATCTTCAGATCTTCAAATATTTACATATTCACCTACTACTTTAATTAAACATAATAACCAGAGTCGTTTGCTACACTCTGCTTTCTTTCTTTCCTTATATTTGTACTTTTAGGTTAGCACTATTTGTAAAGAACCATAATTTTAAAATTTGAATCAAGAATCACACCATTTGCTTGATAAGGATTACATGACATAGGCAGGGCTATTAAATGGTGTCAGCCTACCACAATTTCTTTTGTTCATACTCTGGAGACTTGAGAGTGTTGCTGCAAAGCATGTGAACTCTCCATCTAGAGCAGCATCAGCTACATCAAGCACCAACTGTGCAGGCTGCTGAATGAAGTATAATAGCGGTAATTATGTGTCCAGCTATCTGACAGCTTGTAAGGATTAGCATTTAATCAATGTAAAGTCCATCAAGGTGATAAAGAAAACCTTTGTGAAACTAAAGATTGCCCCTTTGATCTGAAAGCAGAAAATCCAAATTGAGAATATGAGAAATCCAAATTATTTCAGTAAATTATTTCTCAGATAAAGGAAACACGAGCTGGCTTGAAAGAAAGGAAAGTGTTTTTCCCTTGACTATATGTGTACATTTCTGTGAAGGAACGTAAGATACATACTAAAGAGGGAAAAGTTACATTCTTACTTTAGTAACCACACTGGAGTTGCTTTCAATCATGTAACTTATTTTGCTATGATTCTATTACAGTAATTTGTGTACATAGCTACAAGTCTCTAAGAATGATTCTCTATTTCTAAACTAGTCTTGTTTTTTTGGTCACTGTCGAGCTTTTTTTTTGTCAAAGCCCACCTTTCTAAGTCAGCCTTCCAATCGTTGAAGTCACCTTCTCTTGTATATCTATGCAACCATTTGCAACCAGAAGGTATAAAAATATTATACAAGTCTAAATGTTTTAAGTATAGTATGGTGATTATGCCTCAGTGCATTTCCCAAAGTAT